TGGGTTTCATCATTCCTGCAAGGCTACAACAGCAGCCTTCCCCAGCCTGGTGCCCTCCAGATGTTCTGGACTCCAATTCCCATCAGACCCAACTGTAGGATGGTGGGGCTGATGGGGGAGGCGAAGCAATCCCATCAAAACATTAAAACACCATCAATTAAAATGAGGCCTGTCCAAACAGCACAAAAGGTAAGACAACAATTTAAGCAGGTGGTTTAAGCCAGAAAATCAAAGGGATGTTTACCTAAACAGGTGCATCTTCAGGGGTCGGCAGAATGCCAATACTGATGGGGACTTTCCTATTTCAGAAAGGAAAGCATTCTGCATGACTGGTGCCACCACATTTTTGCAATTGATTTTACCTTCTAGTGGGCAACATTTCCAGGTTGATGAGCCCCATCTGCCCCTCATTAAACTGAGGACCAAATTCTTTTACAGTGGTACCTCGGGTTAAGTACTTAATTCGTTCCGGAGGTCCGTTCTTAACCTGAAACTGTTCTTAACCTGAAGCACCATTTTAGCTAATGGGGCCTCCTGCTGTCGCCGCGCCACCAGAGCACGATTTCTGTTCTCATCCTGAAGCAAAGTTCTTAACCTGAAGCACTATTTCTGGGTTAGCAGAGTCTGTAACCTGAAGCGTATGTAACCTGAAGCGTATGTAACCTGAGGTACCACTGTACTCCTTTTTTCTTTTTTCATTTATTCTTTTCCCCTCCCCCTCTTCCTTTTTGAATATTGCTTTATAGATGTATAAATAATTATGTTTATGTGTATATGTATGAAATTTGTTCTGTATTTCTTTTCTTATTTGATATGCCTTTTTTTATTCAATAAAATTATTTTTAAAAATAAAAATAATAAATAAACTGAGGGCCAAATCAGTTTTCTCTCCAATCTCTAACTAAGGCCCCTGTACCTTCGTGTATCAGGTTCACCAGTTCTTGAAATATTGAGGGTAATGGGAAGTGCCACTATATGTCCATTGTTAACCTCACAACAACCCTGCGAGGTAGGTTAGGTTGAGAGAATGTGACTGGCCCAAGGTCATCTAGTGAGTATCATGGCCAAGCGGGGATTTGAACCCTGGTCTCCCCAGTCCAGGTTCGGCACTCTAACCACTACATCTCTGGTTCCTGCCCCTGACTCCATCCCAAAAGTGCTCTCAGTCTCACTGTGCCCAACACAATGCAATGCAAGCTCCCCTTTCTGAAGATCACAAACCCATCATGGCTTTCACAAAAAGAGTTGTCATCATCTGATATTTCTTTCTTCCCCCACCAAAAAAGAAAGACAAGAAAGTAGTTTTCTTGGTGTTCCTTCCCTATCAGATCCAGGCAGATTTTATGAAATGCCTCAGCTCAGCAAGGATACACTTGAATCGTCTCCTTATGGAAAAAATACCCCTTTGTTTGCTGGCAAACTGAGGAGGGATTGAACGGACAGACAGAAAGGATTTAATTTTATTATTTTCTGTCCTCAGGCACTTCAGAATTTAGCACTGACAGTAATAATAATAAAACCATTGTTCGTTTTTATCAGAGGTATTTGTAAATAGATGGGCAATTGCCAGCAATCACCATTCCAGACAATGTTCATTTAGCAAGAAAAGAAAAAGAAGCCTAGGAACTGCTCACTTTACAATCGCTCAGAGTTGACCTGGCGTGGCCTTGAATGTACTGGCTGGATCCTAACAGAAAGGGCATCAAGATAGCTGAGACCATGAGCCAGTGTGTGATGGTAGCAGTTAGGGCAGGGTAGTCCAACACATCGGGACGCGGGTGGCGCTGTGGGTAAAACCTCAGCGCCTAGGACTTGCCGATCGCATGGTCGGCAGTTCGAATCCCCGCGGCGGGGTGCGCTCCCGTCGTTCGGTCCCAGCGCCTGCCAACCTAGCAGTTCGAAAGCACCTCCGGGTGCAAGTAGATAAATAGGGACCGCTTACCAGCGGTAAGGTAAACGGCATTCCGTGTGCTGTGCTGGCTTGCCAGATGCAGCGTGTCACGCTGGCCACGTGACCCGGAAGTGTCTGCAGACAGCGCTGGCTCCCGGCCTATAGAGTGAGATGAGCGCACAACCCTAGAGTCTGGCAAGACTGGCCCGTACGGGCAGGGGTACCTTAGTCCAACACATCAAGTCGCATGTGCCCCTCAAGGCCTTTTTTGGCAGCCCTCAACAACAATGGTGGCCATATCTGACTTCTCCAGTAGCACGGGCAGCTGAGCAAAGGTTCTCCCTATGTTACTCACCACTGCTCAGCAGAGTCCAGGATCTCCCAGCCCAGCTGGTGGAACAGCAGTCCCAGCTTTGACCTCAAAGCTACCTTGCCAATGATCCGTCCCTGCAAACATCCTGCAAGGTGCCAGTGGTGTAATTGAGCTCCACCAGGTGCCGCCCGGAAGGGACGCACATCACATTCCCCGGCGGAACTGATGCTCTGATAGCGTGCAACAAAGAACACAGCTTGTACTTTCCTAAAGTTGGCACGAGTGATTCCTCCAAGTTTTTCTCAGGCTTGCTATCTTGCAAACTCAAGAGGCCCTCTCCTCTCTCAGTCCATGACTTTGGAGCCTGGACTTTGGAGCCTTACAGAGATGTCAAGTTGAACAGTGGGTTCGACAGCCACAGTTATCCCTGGACCAGAAAAAATTGGCCATATTGTTCATGCATTGGCTACTTCAAGGCTGGATTACTGCAATGTGCTCTGCATGGAGCTTCCCTTGCGCTTGATCTGGAAAGTGCAGAATGCTGCAACGCGATTGCTGATAGGAGTGAGATCTTGTCAGCCTACCTGTGCTCAGAGATCTGGACTGGTTGGCAGTTTGCTACTGGGCCAAGTTCAAGGTGTTATAATTAGTGTATAAAGCCCTTAATAACGTGGGACCAGTTTACCTACAAGATCTCCTTACCCCAAATATGCCCCCTCGACCACTTCTATTGATGGAACTGGCCCTGTTGCAGGTGCCACATAATACCCTTCCTGTTTTTGTAATAACTCAGCCATTCTCAAGCTTTGGAACTCCCTGCCTCTTGACGTCAGGCAGGCGCCTTCACTGGACACTTCTCGGCACCTGCTAAAAACATTCCTGTATAGCAAGCCAACTGAGATACTTAGAAATTTGGTGCGACTTTTAATCTTTCTTTCTTTCTTTCTTTCTTTTAGTCTATTGTTATTTTAACTTTTTGGAAGGCTTAAATCGTTGACGTTGATTCTTCTTCTCTAAAATTATATTATTGGTTTATCCTTTTTGGAAACCACTTCAAAGTTTTGTGTTGTTTTACAACAAGCAGTGCATAAATTTTATGAAAATAAAATAAATTAAACAAATTCTCAGAAACAAAAGCTTCAGGAAGCAACTGTCTGGAGTGAGCAGATCTCCTCAGGGCCCTTCTACCATTTGCAAGCCATTTGGGTCTGAACCTAAAAAGAGAGAAGCTGGAGGATTTGATGCCCTTTTCTGGGATCCTGGTTGTGATACAGTGCCTGGGAGAGATGCACCAGCAGAGGGCAAAAAGCCACACCCCCACACTGTTTGGTCCAGCATTGACTTTTCAGAGGTGTACAATACCTGTCCATGGAGGTTCCATTGATCTGCAGCTCGGCTCCCTCCAGATGTTTCAAAGCAGAACTCACATCAGGCCCAGCCAGAGACGGCGGCGTATAGCAGCCTCCAGATGTTTTGTGCTGCATGCTGGCTGGGGCTCATAGGAACTGAAGTTGAAAACAGCTGGAGGGCAATGCATTGAGGGAGGCTGCTATAGATAATCCCTTCTCCATGACTGTGTCCATTTCTAATCAGACCACAAGAACATGCATGTGTAGTCAAGGCTGGGAGGCTTGCCAGCTTTTAAAGTGTCGGACCAGGACCTAGGAAGCTAGGGTTCAAATTCCCGCTCACTGGGTGACTTCAAGGCCAGTCACTGCCTCTCAGCCTAGCCTACCTCACAATAATAATAATAATAATAATAATAATAATAATAATAATAATTTATTATTTATACCCCACCCATCTGGCTGGGCCTCCCCAGCCACTCTGGGCGGCTTCCATAGAAACCAAAAATACAGTAAAATATCACACGTTAAAACTTCCCTGAACAGGGCTGCCTTAAGATGTCTTCTGAATGTCAGGTAGTTGTTTATCGCTTTGACATCTGCTGGAAGGGCGTTCCACAGGGCGGGCGCCACTACCGAGAAGGCCCTCTGCTTGGTTCCCTGTAGCTTTGCTTCTCGCAATGAGGGAACCACCAGAAGGCCCTCGGCGCTGGACCTCAGCGTCCGGGCAGAATGATGGGGGTGGAGACGCTCCTTCAGGTATACTGGGCCGAGGCTGTTTAGGGCTTTAAAGGTCAGCACCAACACTTTGAATTGTGCTCGGAAACGTACTGGGAGCCAATGTAGGTCTTTCAAGACCGGTGTTATGTGGTCTCGGCGGCCGCCCCCAGTCACTAGGTTGTTGTGGGCATTAAATGAGAAGGGGTGAGCTATGTGCACCACCTTGAGGTCCTTGGAGAAAAAGGTGGGATATAAAGGTGACATATAAATGCAACAAACAAACAAACAAACAAACAACGCCCCCCCCCCGGCTCCAGGATTGGGGGAGCAGATGTGCCCAACCCTTAGCCTTGGCACTGAAACTTGAGGGTGTCTTGTTCCTTCTTCCCTCCCTCTCTGAAATTGAATCAGTTTGTTCTTCCATCCAGCTGCATCCACCAAGGCCAGTCTGGGCCTTTGTGGCAACCCTTTGAAGAGCATCCTCGAATCCCTCTGCCCAGATATTTGGTCCATCAAGAGTTAAGAGGAGGGTGTCGCAGGGGAGGCTGAATGTCGACCCCCGCCCTCCTGGGCTGCTGCTGCTGCTTCTGCTCTCCCCCTGGAGTTTCATTTTGCTGGTTTCTCTCTCTCTTCCGCTCCCCCCCCCCGCCCCCAGGCTTGGCTCTTTCCCCCTTTTCTTTCTTCCTGCCTCTCTTCCTGCAGAGGAGGCTCCGTCCCTTCTTAGTACACACGCGGGCAGAAACACACACACACCCCGGAATAAACTAAGGGCAGCTCCACCAGATTGTGCCAAAGGGGAGGGGAGGGGGGGAGGGGTGGTCCTTTGCTCTTCCTGTAACCACTGACGCTGATTCCTCTGCAGGGGAAAATCCAGAGGCGGTTTCTCCGAGCCACCCCGCCCGCGTGCGCGCTCTCTCTCTCTCTCTCTCTCTCTCTCTCTCAGGAGGGGGGGGGAATAGCAGCGCCCTCCCGCTTCCCCGCTTGCCTGCTGGAGAGCTGCCTCACTCCTCCTAGACAACTTTCTGCATGACTGTCTCTAAGGTAAGGACCTGCCTTCCCTTGCCTCGGCTGTCATCCAGAGGTGGCGGTCAGGGTGCGGGGGGGGGCTCTCTCCGTCAGCTCAGCGCCCGTTGCTGGGGTCCTCCCGGCGGCTGCCTGCCCGGGATGGGGGTCCCTAGCAGAGGCGCCTTCCCGGCTGCAGACCGGCCTCCAGGTCCAGTCCTTTTCGCAGAGCTGGCATTGGTGCCTCGTGATTTTCTGCAGCTCCCTATTTTTGCGAGGTTTTTTGTTTTTTAATTGCAAAATCAGGAAGGGTCTTTGGGCCAGTTTTTCAAGGAAAGGCCCCCGAGTGTGAGCAAGCGAGGTGGTGTCGGCTGGGCTTCCTTGCATCAGCGGAGCTTTGCGAGCGCCTTTGCACAGGGGGAGATTGTGCAGTAGATATACTGCATTTTTAACCCTTTCGGAAGCAGCCAGCGTGCCCGCTCCACAGTGGCGGCAGCTGTTGCCCGGTGTGGTATGTGCGTTTTTGCCGCGTGCAAGACTTCTTTGCTGCTCTTTCCGTTTGGCTTCCAGTGGTTGCTGTGACACGTCCCGCTTTGGCTTCGCATTAGCCCAGCAAGGGAAGGGAAAGCTTCCTGCTCTCCAAGTTCTGCTTCTGACGGAGATCCAGCGCGTTTTCCCCATTCCTGGGAGGGCGTTTTTTTTAATATAAAAAAACCTTCTGGGTAGGGTGCTTGGGGAGCCCTACAGGTGGCTGTTGGGGAAGGAAGTCTAATGGGGGGGGCATGGAAGAGGGAGGGCAAGGGAGTTCGCCCTGGGATGGAGCAGCCTCTCACAGTTTAAACTAGCCTTGCCCAGTCCTCCTGCTCCATTGGCACAAGTGTAAAACCTGCTCAGCTTTACATGCCAGTCAAACGATTAACCGCAGATACTTGGAGGTGAGTTCAAAATCCAGCCTTCCTGAGTTATAACCAGGGAGTCCCCCTGACCTCAGTTGATCAAAACTGCAAAATGGGATCATTCAGGGTTCTTGTGGTCGGCGCAAGGATTGTAGATCAGCACATTGAGTTCCAAAATGTCTTAAGCAGTAACCAGTAGTTTCAAGGATGATTCTGAGTTACTTTTAAATGTGTTTCGTGTTGCTGTATGCTATCTTGATGTTTTGTGAGAGATCAGTATAAAAATACTTCTATAAATAAAGGTGAATAGTGCATCCCTCAAAATCTGAGGGTTCTTGGCGTCAGTTCCCTTAACCTGGAAGAGTTTGCCTACATGTGTGGAATGAGAAAGCAGGGAAGGGAATTTGAAGGGAGATGACCCAGAGGTCTCTGCTTTCTGGAGAGACTTTGCAAGGCCATACCATACAAAGGAGCCAGCTTTACTGTTTCAGTCTTGGGGATTTTTTTGTCACTTTCTTTGAGAGCGTGTGGTCTCTCCTCCCTGTTTATCAGGCTGAAAATTCCCTTTTCCTCTTAAGTGAAAAGTTTTGCTTGGTGCTTCGGTCTGACTGTTTACTGGAGCCTGTGGCTTCTGTTCCAGCGTGATATGAGAGAGGCCAGGTTAGCTGGGGAATTAGACAAAGCTCTCTCAAATTTGACAGCCTTTACAGTGGCAGCAACCCTCTGGCCTCGTGCTTCGGCATAACTCTAGGAACACCTACAAAAAGTAGTTTTGTAGTCTTGTCTTCTGTTTTGCAGAGCTCTGCCCTTGCAAGTTGAGGGCCCTGCAAAGCAGTACCCAGCAAGGGACTAAAAAGCAGCTGCTGGAAGTTAAAATCAGCTGCTACTCTGCCACGTGCTCCAGAAAAGTGTTTTGCACATGCACAGAGGCCTCTGTAGCTCAGGAAGAGGGAACCTATCCCTTTTTATCCCTTTGCATTTCTACCCACACAGCATCACCGATTCTCAAGGTGTGACACACTGCTGGATGTTCTCAGCTGGGCAATACTTTTTGTTGCTGCGAGACACAGTGCAAGTGGGCAGGTACTGTAGAACAGGGGAAGCATTCATCTGTGATCCCATCGTGTCCAGGTTCCTTCAGCATCTTTTCTGTATATGAGAGACAAGGAGAACCTGGAGGTTGGGGGTGCCTGAGTCATACGTTCTGCCCACGCCCTGCTTCTTTTAATCTAAGTATGGAAGCTGTGACGCTCCCTGCTGGCCAGCCTCAGTCTGGCGCCCTCCAGATATTTGGAACTACAACTCCCAACAGCCCAAGCCATCATGGGTCCTGTGGCTGATGGGAGCTGTAGTCCAAAACATCTGGAGGGCACCAGCTATGGGGAGGTGGTGCCATGCTTGCCATTGCAGACATTTTATGCTGCTGCTACACTATCCATTCAATGAGGTTTCTGCAGGTGAACTTCCTGGGCAGCTGAGCTCAACGTTTCTCTTTCCTGTATTGAAGCAACTTAGACTTCTCTGCAAATGAAGGCCTTGTTTCCTTTCCATTTACAATACAGTAGGCCTGCAGCTTACACAGGGGTTACATTTTGGAGATCATACCTGAAGCCAAAATTGCATATAGTCAAAACCTACTGGGTTCAATGGCGGGTGGGATTGCCAAAGTCATTTTCGTTTTCGTTTTGCTACCCTCATAAAGTTAAATGCATGCAAATTGCGGGCATAGTGTACCAATATAAACCCCCTCAGGAGAAATTTAACAGTTTGGCTTCTAAGTATCTACTTTTTTCATTTCTTTTTTTAAAGAGTTTACCCTGCCCATGTTCTTTTCTTTCTTTCTTTCTTTCTTTCTTTCTTTCTTTCTTTCTTTCTTTCAAAAAATGCTTTGCAATCATTAACTACTTCCTCTCTGGTCAGATCATCTGTGGGCATATTTTCTTGTTCTTTGGGCCCAAAGGTGATCCTTGCATTTTCCACAATCTCATTACTCTTCACATCTACTCCAAACATTAAAATGTAAGAACTGAAGCTTTTTCTGAAGTGTGATGAAAGCACTCGCTTTAATCCACACATCTTTATCTTCTACACTTTGGTGTCTGTTAAATTCCTTAAGCTGAGCAAATTATTATCTTTCACTTCCTTGGGTTAATTTTGACAGTTACCGCCAGTCTGGTCGTATGCATGTTTACTTGGGAGCAAGTCCCACTGCAACATAGGATGTATGGCATTTTTAAGGGGCTAAAAAGCACTGCACTTCTGCAGTCAAATGGGTGTGTAGTTTAGTATCAGGCACACAAGGTGACTCCACCTTGGAATCTTTATTTTCACTTTAAAAAACCACCAAGTTTCTAGCCCTTATGATTGAGGACAAAACTTGAAAATGGGTGAGCAGTATCCAGAGAAGTCGAAGAATCTAGAAAGAAAGCTAAGCAGGTATTTTGGTGGGTTTTGGAGTGGGGAAGTCTTTTAACACTTTATAAAGCTCTTTCCTCTTCCCTAGCAGAGAACACCTGAGAGGTGACCACACCAAGTTAAAACTGTTAAGATGTCACCTATGATTAATCCTACCTTGACCTGGTACTGATAGCACACAGATGCTAAAAATAGGAGGGCAACCTAGAATCTCTCAACAGAGAGGGTACTTCTATTGATGAAGCTCATTAGAAGAAATCTCCCAAGTTAAAAATGGAAAGAGCCCTGGGAGATTGTCACCTAAACTGGGTGGGTGGTGTTTGATGTGAGCAGGGTTTACAAGAAGAACAAAACAGCCAGATTATTAGTAAAAACAGTTAAAACATTCAAAAAAACTTAGACCAGCAATAAACTAAAAACACACCCGTGTTCTAAATATCTGGGTAGGCTTTTCTAAACAAAAATGCTTTCAGTAGGTGCTGAAAAGAGTACAGTGAAGGCACCTACCTGATGTCAAGAGGCAGGGAGTTCCAAAGTGTAGGTGCTTCCACATTGGTTTCTTGCAATGGAAAAAAGGGTAGGGAAGGGAAGCTCATACCCTCCAACATTTCTCTGATGAAAATAGGTACGTTCTATTTAATAATAATAATAGTTTTATTTATAACACGCTCATCTGCCCCAGCCACTCTGGGCGGCTTCCTACATATATTAAAACATTAAAAACTTCCCTATACAGGGCTGCCTTCATCTGTCCTTTAAAGGTTGTATAGTTACCGTACTTATCTCCTTGGCTCAGAGGGGGTCGCATAACTCCATACCCTCCAACATTTCTCTGGTGAAAATAGGGACATCCCAAGAAGACGTGGGACATTCCAGGATCAAATCAGAAACTAGGAGGGCTTCTGTAAATCTAGGACTGTGCCTTGGAACACTTGGAGGGTCTGGGAGCTTGGGGGTTCACAAAACGCCTGTCTTATACTTTGCCTTTTCAGTGCTGGGTTTCAGCCACTGGTACAGATGAATCCGACTTCCGATTGGTCACTGCAAGAACAGGATGATGAACTAGCTAGGACTCCTTTGGCCTGATCCTGCATCCAGGCTCTTCTAATATTCTTGTTCTGGGGGAAAGGGGCACCAATTGCTCTTCCCCAGTCGGCAAAATGAGCCAGCTCATGAGCTGCAGGGAGACCCACCCAGGGATGACGTTCTATGAAGCAGAGTAAAGGTAAAGGTAAAGGTACCCTTGCCCGTACGGGCCAGTCTTGCCAGACTCTAGGGTTGTGCGCTCATCTCACTCTATAGGCCGGGAGCCAGCGCTGTCCGCAGACACTTCCGGGTCACGTGGCCAGTGTGACAAGCTGCATCTGGCGAGCCAGCGCAGCACACGGAACGCCGTTTACCTTCCCGCTGGTAAGCGGTCCCTGTTTATGGTATCTACTTGCACCCGGGGGTGCTTTCGAACTGCTAGGTTGGCAGGCGCTGGGACCGAACGACGGGAGCGCACCCCGCCGTGGGGATTCGAACCGCCGACCTTTCGATCAGCAAGTCCTAGGCGCTGAGGTTTTACCCACAGCGCCACCCGCGTTCTACGAAGCAGAGTAGGAATGGTGATTTATCAGAAATAGGAAGAAGTTTATCAGCAGTGCTCTACCTGGTTTGATACTGGGGTGGGGGCAGGGAAAAGCATCCCATGTGGGTAGGAAATGCATCCAGAGAAGCTGGATGTGC